ATAGAAGGGAAAACACTAACTGCAAAGAAACCGATACGGAACCGCTGTATGATATACGATGGAACTACTTGTTCCTACGTTGTTTTAAGTCATGTGTTTGTGTTTGTTGATGTGTTTATAGTTCAAAGTTTAATGAATTTATATGCCGCCCAATCCCGAAGGACTCCGGGCGGCTTACATAAAAACAACTCTAAAAAGAATGCTAAAAAATTTAACATAGAAAGAAAAGCAAGTTAAAAGACACATCATGCACTCAACCTTAGTGGGGCTGGACCTCATTTATGGGGTCAACAGCCCCAGGCCTGCCGGAATAGCCAGGTCTTAGTAGACTTTCGGAAGGCCGAGAGAGTGGGGAGGGGGTTTATGTGTTTAAAATTTTTAAAAAAGCTGGGATGTACAGTAAATCCAGTAAAGAAATCACAAGTTTATAATTGAGTACATTTTTTTAATTAACTACTTAATTTCCAGGTAGAGCCGATTGCCCCTACTTTGCTAAGGCACAACTCCTAGCTGACTACCTGGTGAAAAATTTGCCTAACTTTAGGATACACAAGATAGTTCAACATCCTGACAACTGGGAGGTAACTTTATTTCAGTCTGGTTTGCTAATAAGATTCTCCACTTTTGGAATCCGTTAACCAAATTAAGTTTCTTTACAGGTAGCACGAGAGAGAGATGGGATAAATGTATAGTACAAAAAGATAGCTATATGTAGCCAGGTCTTAGTAGACTTTCGGAAGGCCGAGAGAGTGGGGAGGGGGTTTAATGTGTTTAAAATTTAAAAAAAAAAAGCTGGGATATACAGTAAATCCAGTAAAGAAACCACAAGTTTATAATTGGGTATCCAAAAAACGAACCCAATTAAGATCAACAATAACATTTTTTAAAAAATTCGATTAAAATTAACAATAATCGAGGAATATAAGCTACAAGGGGACCGGATAGAACCAACGTCAGTCCCTCCTTACTGAATTCTCAGCAGTCCTTGTCTGTTCCAAATAGATAGAAAACAACTGTCTCAAAGCCACTCAGGCTTTTCCAGGGCTGGGGATTTGCACTAAAGGGCAGAGCAAAGGACAAAGGCGCCTCGGCCTCCTTCTTCCCAAATCCCTCGCTCCTCCTTTCCTTGCGCTTTGCTTCCCGCTTGCTCCTCGTGGCTCGATCTCCACCCTGCAGGACCGTCCGGCTCTCCGTTCCACTTCCGGGCCCCGAACGCGCGACACGCTGAAACCGAGAAGCGGGGTGACGCGATTCGCGCGCGACGCGAGGGTCCCTTTCCTCGAGTTACGGTTGCCCGAAGCGGACAAAATGAACCAGTCGCCCGAGGCTTCGCGATTTTGGGCCTCCCGTCCGGACTGGGCGTCCTGGTTGCTAGGCAACCCCCTCCTCCGCAGCGCGTTAAATCGGATTTAGCGGAGTTTCTGGCTCTCGGTCAAATGGCGAAGTTCGTACTAGCAGGTGAAGGGGGAACCCCCCCTGCAAGGCGACTCTTACTCACCCCCCCCCNTGTTGTTGGGGGCAATTTGCTGACTCTGTAAACCGCTTAGAGAGGGCTGAAAGCCCTATGAAGCGGTATATAAGTCTAACTGCTATTGCTATTGAGTTAGTGCCAGTCTATAGTGGGAACTACACATCCCACTATGAACATGCCTTATTTGATCAGTAGAGAAAAATCTCTTCAGATCATGTTTTAAAAGAATTTGATTATCTAGTAGGTCAGGAAGGCCTTATTTTACATGGGCCCCAGGCTCTAGAGTGGGCACCTTAAGGAGATGTATTTGGCCTCCACTCAGCCAATACTTAGGAAAACTAAAAATACAGCTTTCCCACCAAACTTTTAATTATTAATTTTAAAATTCAGATTTTAGTTGTATGCACTAGATGATTGATAGACAGACAAGTATAGATATGTTCTCTAATACTATTACTGTAAAAGGCCTTTTTTGTTGAAAAAAAATTAAAGTGGGATAAACAAATATCCAGAAACAAGTATAAATGGACAGCCTAGATATGGGCACTAAAGTTTCCCAGGAACTACATACATAAGATAAACAGAAAAGTATCCTTGTAGATATTTCATTTGAATTTAATCCTAGAAAATAAAAATTGATCATGTATATTTGTCAGTAATTCTCCATGAGCTCAATGTGGCTTGCTTCTAAATGCTAAATTATAATTAGTCTTAATCTTTAGTTTACTAAAGAAACCTGTAATTTGAACTGGAATTAAGACTAAGGTCAAGATGTTTGGGTTCAGATATACACTGGAATAAACTACAACTATTTAACTAGGAAGAAACATATCCCACAAGCGTGCCCGATAACTGATGAGTACCAATGTACAAACTTAAAAGTCTTTTCTTACTGTAGTCCAAGTTGAAGAGCTTCCACATTCTTGCATTTTTCCATGACTTTCAAAGTGCTTGCAATAATCGAGACACATCGTGTATTAAATTCATTGATACGTTCCTGTTGAAAAATTCAAAAGTCATTTTAGAAGATTTTCCTGGAAAGATTAAAATTATAGGCCAGAGGAAAAATTAACAAAGCAAATTCCTACTGCTATTTATTTATTTATTCAATCCATTTGCTGCCTATCTTGCCATGGGGCTTCTCTAGGCAGTTTAAAATAATAAAAAGGAAGAAAATTGGGGGGAAAAACTCTTTCGTACCTTCTTGTCCACCACATACATGGCCTTCTTGTTCTAGGGCTGCCCTAAAATTCAACCTTTTTCTGGGACCTTATTCTTTCAAAAAAAAAAAATACCCTTTCTAGTCTACATTCCAGGCCTGATAAGTTTCTGGAAGATTCCTGGTTACAAACTAGATCCAATTCTGATTATGTGATGCATCTGGCCAGAGCTGCATATCAGTTTGGAAATTAAGTCCTAAATTCAGGTCCATTTTCAGATAAAGGAGTACAGACTAAACTGTAAATCAATAGTAACTTTTTCAATGCATAGATAATGAAACTAAAATGTCTTAGGTTATTTTTTTTTTAAGACAAAAGATGATATATGAAGTCTAGAAACATGCTAAATAATAAATTTAACTTTTTAAGAACTGTTGCTTATTTTAAAGTATCCTTAAATTTTGTCTATTGGGTTTTTTGTTTTTTTGTTTTGCTGGTTCCACCACAAAATCGCGGAGGACAAAATCGCGCTCGACGAAAGCGCGCATTTGACGTCATCACAGCG